AAGGGTTTGGCAAGCCTTGTTCTTGATAAATCCACGATGTCTCCTGTTAATTACAACACCGTCTTCAAAATGCTTAGAGATTGTTACAATGTTCTCTTGAATCTTTTAAAATATTGATTATAGATTGTCTGTATTCATCTTTGTTTTTCTGAAGACAGGAACAGTTGCCTTCCTTCAGTCTTCTGCTCATTCTCCAATATTGTTAAAAAGATAAAGGAAAATATTTATGTTATATCATACATTGGACTCCTACTATGATTTTAGATCCTTAAAAAGGGGTATTTGACCAATTATATGCACCAGGTATATTAATTAAAATATTACTGTATTTTTCGGAGTATGAGATGCAACTCCCCCCCCAAAAAAAGTACGTGAAAATGTTGGTGTGTCTTATACACCGAATACAGACATTTTTGGCTCCCCCCCCCCCGCATCCCATTTTTGCGGGGAAAAAACAGGCCGTTGTTTACAGAGGCTGGGGGAAGGCAAAAACAGAGGCATTTTTGCCTTCTTCCAGCCCCCAGAAGCACTCTCCAGGTTTCAACAGGCCTGGGGGAAGGCAAAAATGCCCCCATTTTTGCAAAAAATGGCTCATTTTCCACACGTTTTTGCAAAAATTGGCATTTTTGCCTTCCCCCAGCCCTGCTGAAGCCTGCAGAGTGCTCCTGGGAGCCAGGGAGGACAACAACTTTTTTTTTCTTATTTACCTCTTCGAAATTTTGGTGCGTCATATACACAGGTGCACCTGTGGAACAGGCTCTAAAACCTGACAAACTGTTAGTTTCATGACTGAAACAATTGAATGAAAAAGTGCACATGCTGTAGGAGATTTTGCAAGGATACATCATGGCAATTATAAAGCAATACATTCTTAATTTGAATTTCAGGCAAAAATGTATTTATTTTGTCAATGTGCATGTAGCATATTGTCAGAACCACCTTAAAACAATGGTTGCCCTTGGGAGTTTATAGATAATCCCAGGAAAATATCTGTCTGCTTTAAGATGATATAAGTTATGTGCACATCCTTATGAGCTCTAAATCCTAGTTTATCCTTCTATTCTAAACCACTGCTCAGTCCTATAGCTTTGCCTTTACTTGGTAACCACCTTGACTGAGCAGGTGATATGCTATTTCCCTTTTATTATGACATCTAAAAATCATTTTATTTTTGTTGCATTCTTTAACAATTTCATATCAGGAGCAGAATGTCACTTTTCTTTAGTTCTTCTTTCTTATAAAGGACAAGTGTCTCTTATAAAGGACCAGCCGAAAACCCGGCATTGCCCAGGTATTTATTTATAGGGGGAAAATGTCCAGAAAAGGTAAGTTCTAATGTTGAATTTTTCCCCTTACCAGAGGGAGCCCCCTTGTGGAGTACTGTGAAACCATTACAATGGCAACTCCACTGCACTGTACAGTAGAAGCCATTTTAAGGCACAAGAGGCTGTATCTTNACAGGATGAATTGCTTACTTCTGAAAGAAAGTTGTAAGACTATCTCTGCTGTACCGCATGCACATAATTTTGTTTATAAAAATCGGGGATCTCTGCAAATGAGCAGTTACTGAATTGCCATGATTCCTAAGGCAAAGTCGCTGTTGCATGTAAACACCAGAAATTATATGTCATGTATGCCATAAGCAGCCTTTGCACTCTGGAGCTTTACAGATGTCAACAATTCCTACGATTCCAGAATGAAATGGTCCAATTAGGGAAACCCAGCAAAGGCCAATAAAAGTTCAAAAGAAATTGTTTTCAGTCTCTCACATTAATCAAAATGGGGATGTTTTTATTTCTTACGTAAGAATTCAGGGGGAGAAGCTGTTTCATGGGAAGCATAAACTCTCCCTGGAACCTCTCATTTCAATAATTGCATTTAGTGATCTGGAAAAGAGTCAGTGGAATTCCCCCCCCCCCCGGCTCCCCTCCCCACCTGTGAGCCTAAAGAAAAATCTGTGAATATCATATAATTAATTCCTAAGACAGTTATTGTGCGTTGTGGTTTCATTTACATAATTCGAAGTGACGCAATGCTGTACCTAAAGGTGATAATTAAGCAATTCTCGTTGTTTTTATCTTCACCATTGATTGCATAATACCCTACCTAAAACACAGAATATCTCTGTATGATTCAACTGTTATATTCCTTCAATGGGATAGCAAAGCATTCCCAGATGATCTAAGAACAGGTTTAACAGACTTCTTTATTTTAATGAAAGATAAAACGTTCCAAATAAATAAAATAAATAAAGATATGATTTGGTAAGGAAAGAAACTGAAAAAGGAATCACATTCCATGGGTTATTGGAGCAAGGAGGAAAGTGATGAAAATAGTGTCAAATCATGGCAACTTGACACACAAACCCACAACTTAAATACTTAACATCAAACATCAGGACAGGGTTGGCATTTTGACATCACAAACACATATAGAATAACAGAGTTAAAAGGGATCTTGGAGGTCTTCTAGTCCAACCCCCTGCNCCTTACCAGAGGGAGCCCCCTTGTGGAGTACTGTGAAACCATTACAATGGCAACTCCACTGCACTGTACAGTAGAAGCCATTTTAAGGCACAAGAGGCTGTATCTTAACAGAACACACACATGCATACACACTGAGGAGTGTTAGGGGTGTCTTATGCCCACAGTATTTGTTTCCAGAGTGTAAGTCATCTGTGTAGCAAGTTTGGTTGAAATTGCTTCAGGCGTTCCAGTTTTTATATATATCCAGTTTTTATATATATCTTACATCCAGATACCACTTCTAACTTTTTATATATTCGTGAAAGACATTTGCACCTTTGCAACCAATAGGCATTTAAGACCATCACTGTGTCCCACACTCATGATTGCCATTCATGTGCTTCCCAGCAGTCTAGCAACAAGCAGAATCAATGGAGAAGCCAGCAGTAAAATTGCAAGTCAGTGATGTGATGTGTTGCTTAATGACCACAGTGATTCATTAAACAACAGCAGCATCAGGAGGTCATAAGTCTTTGAGTCATATCTTAATTACAGCTTTGTGCAGCAATGAAGTTGCCAGTCCCAACTATAGTTGTATTAAGTGGGGTCTATTTGTATGTTTAATATGATCATCCATATTTATGGCTCCAATGACCAAGCTCCAATGACCCTACTTTAGACACAGAATAATAGAGTTGGAAGGGACCTTGGAGGTCTTTTAATCCAACCCCCCTTTCAAGCAAGAGACCCTATACAGGTAGTCCTCAACTTACAACCAAGATAGAATCCAACATTTTTGTTGCTAAGCGAGACATTTGTTGTGTGAAATGTAACCCTGCTGCAGACATTTCCTGCTTCCCCGTTGACTTTGCTTGTCAGGTCAACAAAGGTGATCACATGACCCCATGACACTGCAACTGTCATGAGTCAGCTGACAAGTCTGAATTTTGAGTACGTGACCCGTAGGGATGCTTCAAGAGTTGTAAAAGTATGAAAAATGCTCATAGCTCATTTTTTCCCAGTGCCGTTGTAATTTTGAATGGTCACTAAACAAACTATTGCAAGTCGAGGACTACCTGTACCAATTTAGACAAGCGGTCATCCAATTTCTTCTTTAAAAAGCTCCAATGATAGCGCGTCCACAAGCAAAGACCCAACAATCTGAAAAAAGGCTCCAGTGTAGGAAAGGTGGAAGGAAAGAGACGAGGGCGGGCAGCATCAAGGGGGACGGACTCATTACTATTGGCGATGACTGTCCCAGAGGTGCTTTTTCAAGAGGCAATTGGACTTTCTTGTTTTTCCTTTTGAAGACGTTCTGCTTCTCATCCAAGAAGCTTCTTCAGTTCTGACAGAATATTGGGGAATGGAAGGATTTATGCTCCTTGCAGACAGCTCATTATCCTGTCAGAACTGAAGCAGCTTCTTGGATGAGAAGCGTCTTCGAAAGGAAAAACAAGAAAGTCCAGCTGCCTCCTGAAAAAAAAAATCTTTGGGACAACCATGACCCAGGATGACTGAGAATCTCTACAGATTATTGGCGATGACTGCACCATTAGAACAGTGTTTCTCAACCTTGGCAACTTGAAGATGTCTGGACTTCAACTCCCAGAATTCCCCAGCCAGCATTCGCTGGCTGGGGAATTATGGGAGTTGAAGTCCAGACATCTTCAAGTTGCCAAGGTTGAGAAACACTGCATTAGAAGACGTGAAAGGACCAGGTTAGGGGCAGATCGTCAGGGAGGACGTCTGTCTACAGGAAGTCGAAAGAACTTGATGGCACATAATCAATCATTTATTTAGGAATAAATAAATGTCTGCTGTTTTAGGATTAAACAAAATGTGAACGCTCTGTCCAAACGTTAATCACAATTCCAGCAGGGACACATTGAGACTGTGCCTGGAACAAGCGCCCATGCGCATGCGCATCCCATCCATTCCTTCCTCCCACCCCCTTCTCTCAGCCCCACCTTCCCGCGCCTACTTGAAATCCCATTTGACTCGCGAGAGACAGGAAAATGACGCAGGCAGAACCTGCTCTTCAGACGAGTCATTAGTAGATTTGGAAAAGTTAGAACAGAATTTGTCACGACAATTATTCACAAACACTTCCAGGTACTGTTCCCCATTATTTTTTTTATCGGGGCCATACATGATTACTATCTACCCAGCGGCTCGTCTCCTTGTTTCGGTATAAGAAAACAGTTTTGACACCGCTTTCTTTTCTTCGGTTTCTAACTCTATGCACGTTTTTCTCCCCGAGGACCCCAAATTTTTGGCTACACCGTTGCCTATTCCTTACGCCGAAATGTCTTTCTCTATCCTGTGAGGTCGACACACATACACACACCGTCGGTGCTGGCTGCTGAAATAAGAAACTATAAAAGGAAACTGTTCGCGGTCTCTTGTCATCGGGAATGCCCGCATTTCGGACTTTTCGAATCCGGCGATAAAGTCAGGCGGCTGCAGAAGGACAGGGGCAGAGATGGTGCGTCGGGGTCCTTCGCGATGGCGGAACAGGAAGTGGAGGAGAGGAGGGGCGTGGCCGCGCTGAGGGCAGGGACTGGTGCGAAGTGAGTCGAGTCCTTTGCTGGGGTGTCTGCCGAACCGGACCGCGCCAGGTTGACCCCAACTCCCCACCCCGCCGCCTCGGGGTGTTGCCGTTAAACGTTCGTGCTGCCGCCGCTGTCCAACGTTGTCATGCCGCTCTTCGCCCCCAACCCGTTCGAGCAGGATGTGGGTGAGTGTAACGGGGTTTTTGTCTACCCGCCAGAAGAAGAGCAGCCGCAGCCGCCCTAAAAGGCTCCGGGCACGGCCTCGGGTCGGTTCTCCCCTCTCCCGGGGGGGGGGGGGATCAGCTCCATCTGCGTAGCCAAGCCTCCCCCACCCCAGGACAGACTCAGGAGGGAGGCTCTGCTGCCCAGTCCCGTCCCAACACTGTCCTCTCGAGGCAAGGAGGTCAGTCGTCTTGCGAGGATCTGAGTTGAGCCACCTGTGCGGGGGAGGAAGTGGAGCGAGAGGCCCCTGATTTACCTGGAGGGAATAATGTGGGTCTCCCCACCCCCGCCCCTATTAAGAGGCTCACGTGATTTTGCGAAATACTCCCTGGCTGGCCAAACCTGATTCTCGTCCTCTTCAGACTTGAGAGCGAACGATTTGCCCAAGATTAAATTTAAGGTGGGAGGAGGATCCTAATCTGGTGGTCTATAAATATATTTTAAAGACAATTTTGGCCTTAGACACATTTTGGGTTTAGACAATTTAGAACTACACAGCCTTTGGTCTGACCTGAACATAGTACACAAAATTACCTGCTACAATGTCCTACCTGTCAATGACTACTTCAGCTTCAACGGCCACAATACACGAGCACACAATAGATACAAACTTAAGGTAAATCACTCCAAACTCAATTGCAGAAAATACGACTTCAGCATCAGAGTAGTGAATGCCTGGAATGCTCTACCTGACTCTTTTGTTACATTTTCAAACCCCCAAAACTTTAACCTAAGATAGTCTATTGTTGACCTCACCCCATTCCTAAGAGATCTGTAAGGNGCCCACCCAGTCATATGACTGCCAAGCCACTCCCACCCAGTCACTCCCACCCAGACAAGACACTCCTACCTGGTCACATGGCTGGCAAGCCACTCCCACAAAGCAGGCCACACCTACAGAAGAGGTTCTAAAAAAAATTGAAACCCACCACTGATCTAGGCCTTCCCGTTAACTAAGCCAGAAAATGTTTCAGCAACAAAAAATAAAAATAGCGTTGTGCATTTAAATCTCCTTATCGTTTCAATAGCTGAGAAGGCATGTTCCTTCTTTTAGGGCTTCCTCTCAATTTCCTTGGGAGATTAAATCACAGTTCTGCTATTCTGGCAGGCAAGGCCCATCTGCTTCAATCGGCTGTAAATTACAAGAACAAAAGTCTGCCTTGAGCTAATGAATTCTATAAACAGCTATCCAGTAAAAAGTCCCCTTGAAAGGAATTCTATTATTTTTTTATTTCTCAGTATAACAACTAGAAGCGAAGGTACTTGGTCATAAAAGGGACGAGGAAGATTTAATTTGAATGCATCTCCTTTTTACTTATTTATATGCATCTGTTTTGTTATGGCCCGGTACCAATATCCAGGTACTAACTGACTGGAAAAACTGCTTTGTTTCTTAACACGAATGGGATTCCTGAAGTATGCAAAATCTAGACCACATACTTTGAGTGCAGAAATGAGCAGCTAAATGATTGCTTTATAGATGAACTGTTCTTTCTCCTATTATCAGCCTACTCGGTTGTTTTTATAGCCTGTTTAGTGTAGCGGTTAAGGCATCAAGCTAAAACCAGGAGACCCTAAGTTCTAGCCCTGCCTGCGGCACGAAGCCTGTGACCTTGGGCCAGTCAGTCTCTCTCAGCCCTTGGAAGGTAGCAATAGCAAACCACTTTCAAAATTTTGTGAAGAAAATTTCAGGGACTTGTCCAGGCAGTTGATGAGGGTCGGCATTTAGTTGAAGGTAACAAAAATGCTCAAACATGAATAGAAATGCCTCCATTGACTGCATTATTTATTCTTTGAAGATGTGAGAAATGGGTCCCAGACAGTGGTGAAATTCAATTTTTTTACTACCGGTTCTGTGGGCATGGCTTGGAGTGTGTGGTGTGGCTTGGTGAGCTTGGCAGGGGAAGGATATTGCAAAATCCCCATTCCCACCCCACTCTGGGGCCAGCCAGAGGTGGC